AGCAAGACGATGCTGTCAGATGTGACATTGGTGCTGGAGGTATCCTGTAGCAAGACGATGCTGTCAGATGTGACATTGGTGCTGGAGGTATCCTGTAGCAAGGCGATGCTGTCAGATGTGACATTGGTGCTGGAGGTATCCTGTAGCAAGACGATGCCGTCAGATGTGACATTGGTGCTGAAGGTATCCTGTAGCAAGACGATGCTGTCAGATGTGACATTGGTGCTGGAGGTATTCTGTAGCAAGGCGATGCTGTCAGATGTGACATTGGTGCTGAAGGTATCCTGTAGCAAGACGATGCTGTCAGATGTGACATTGGTGCTGACGGTATCCTGTAGCAAGGCGATGCCGTCAGATGTGACATTGGTGCTGGAGGTATCCTGTAGCAAGACGATGTTGTCAGATGTGACATTGGTGCTGAAGGTATCCTGTAGCAAGACGATGTTGTCAGATGTGAAATTGGTGCTGGGGGTATCCTGTAGCAAGACGATGTTGTCAGATGTGACATTGGTGCTGAAGGTATCCTGTAGCAAAACGATGCTGTCAGATGTGACATTGGTGCTGGAGGTATCCTGTAGCAAAACGATGCACCAAGCTTTGGTCATCCAGTTTGTTATTATTCACCTAAATTTGAGTAACATCAGAGATATAATATTGCACCAATTCATTGATTTTTCTTCACAAAATCAAACGGTTTATGTCCTGGTCCTTGTCTTTAGTGAAACTTGATTTAGGCATCAAACGCATTAAAGTCAAAGGCAACATTATCGCTGATGTATTATCACGAGTTGGTTGACTCAATGAGGCTGGTCACTTTTGACAGTAGACATGATTTCAATTGTGTGTAAACATATCTTATCAGGGTATGAAACTCCCAAAATTTCAGCCAGATCACAGGGCTGGTTAGATGTAAAAATTTGCCAAATCTTACCTGCCCACAAAATATCTTCACAGATACATGTCTAAATTGTAACCCGACCGTCGGGCAGGTGTCTGGCAGTCCATGTTGAAAATAACACGTCCCGGGCGGTCGGGCAAGCAGGTATTTCGAATGCTGATCTTATACTTATCTTGTATCGAACTTGTTGTTATTAACCATGCCTAGTAGTTTTGCACTTTAATTAGCAAAGAAAGTTCTTACTACACTTAAACTCAAAAGGGGGAGAGTATTAAATAACGATATGTTATTGTAAACATAAATGTATTGAAATGTATTTGTACAGATTCAAAGAGATTGACTATCAAGAGAAGGTTAACGTGCATGTATACTAGCCACATAAAGAAACTGTGCATTGTCAAAATATTATTCCAGTTGATAAGTACGAAAACAATGTCAAAGTACATATAAACTTTAATGGAGGGATGAGACCATGACGTCACGAGTCCACAAGCGGGACAAGGGTCAAACGACCATGTCACAAGCTCAATAACGGGTATGTCCACCATCGGCATTGAGAACAGCAGTGCATCGACGACGCATAGAGCCTATCAAACGTGCAAGGAAGGCTTGTGGGATGTCACGCCAGATTCTCTCAAGTTCTGTTGCAAGGTCAAGGACGTTATCTGGCGGATGAGGAAGACGGCGTAGACGTCGATCCATCTCGTCCCAAACATGCTCTATCGGGGAGAGATCCGGTGAATTTGCAGGCCAAGGCAGTAAGTCAACGTTGTGGTGTTGCAAGAAATCCATAGCAACCCGTGCCGTATGAGGGCGGGCATTGTCCTGTTGGAATGTTAACCCAGGGCCATGACGTTGCAGAAAAGGAATTGCCACAGGTCGAAGAATCTGATCCCTGTAGCCCACACCAGTTAAGTTGCCCTGAACAATCACCAAAGGAGTTCTTTGCAGTGCTGTTATTCCACACCAAATCATCACGGAACAACCACCACAGCGATTCCTCTCCAAGACACAGGACTGTGCATAACGTTCTCCCGCGCGTCTATAGGCACGTTGACGTCCATCACTATGGGAAATGTTAAACCTGGACTCATCTGTAAAAACAACATTTCTCCACCAAAACAAGGGTCTGCGGACATGATTTCCGCACCACATTCGGCGAGCTTGTCGATGACGTTGTGTCAGGATAGGCCGTATGGCGGGACGTCGTGGTCTGATCCCGTGATGACGTAAACGTTGTCGAACTGTGTTGGGGTGGATACGGCGAAGTCCTGGGATGGTTTGGGCAGTCATCACTACAGTCTGAAACCTGTGGCGAAGATGGGTCACCCTTATCCATATGTCCTGTCTTGGCGTTGTTACACGTGGACGTCCAGAACGTGGCCGATCGATGACGTCATTTGTGTTCTGGTAGCGTCTCACCAGTGCAGAAATGGTGTTCCGGTGGCAGTGGAAATGTGCAGCCACTTGTCGTTGAGACATTCCCCCACGGACCATCCCAATGGCCTCATGACGTTGTGCAGACGTGAGCCTTGGCATGCTATGCGTTTCAATAGCCGTTTAATTTTTTGAACGATCGCAGGGGTTGAGCTTTCCAAAGTGACAGTATTGTGTGGCATTCATTTGCTCTGTTTCTCTTTCCCTGAATGCACGTGCAACAACGTATTGCACTTCTCAAGGACGAACCCACTGACGTCACGGAACGTGGCACGTGCATGCATGTTACTAATCTCTGAGTTTAAATCCTTATGTGTCTACACAGGTTTGATAAATTTAGGTTTTAAATTTTTGTATGCACAGTTTCTTTTTGTGCCTAGTATAGAGGTGAGGTGAAATTGGGTTTATCGTCGTGGCCTAGTATAGAAGACGGCCTACAATACAGAAGGGATGTAGACGGTTGACAGGTTGAACCTGGGAATATTTATTGACAGTATAACAGGTAAACAGAGGCATTCGGTGCTTTCAACTCAATCTTTGGAATACCCAGTGGTACATGGCACTCTTTTTTTTCAAGCACATAACTGAAACATCAGTCACAACCAAGTAGTAAAACGTCGAAATCGTCTATGACCCTGGGCTCTTCCTCCCACACAAAACAGACACGTCGTGGTATAACGTAATTAAACTGCACAGTGTCAAGCCCAGCTCACAATGTAATACCCGTCCATCCACACGTAACGCTCTGTCACACGATTGAACAATGTCTAGCCAATCAGTTGAAGGAAGCTCACGTAAAATACCATACACCAATCCTTTCATAACTCTTACCTTTGCAAGGGCGGATACAGCTTTTTTAGAAAGGGAGGGTGCATACTATTGAGAAAAGGGAGGGTGCACGTCATTTTCATCCGAGTTTCAATGGTCATTTAATAAACTTTCAGCACAAAAGGGGGGGTGCACACCCCTGCACCCCCCTTCTGGATCCGCCTATGCTTTGTATGACATTGAATTGAGGATGGCGTAACCCAGCGTTCGCGTCATCATAACAAGCAGACGCTGATCCTTGTGATGAAACGACACTTCGGTGCTCCCAGCATCGTAAATTCTCATACAAGACACGCCTCTGTATCGATACAGGAGTGAGTGAGTTAGTTTTACTCCGCACTCAGCAATATTCTAGCTATACGGCGGCGGTCTGTAGATAACCGAGTCTGGACCAGACATTCTAGTGAACAGCATGAGCATTGATTTACGCAGTTGGGTTACGATGACATGTGTCAATCAAGTCAGCGAGCCTGACCACCCGATCCCGTTAGCCGCTTCTTACAAGCATGGGTTACTGAAGATCAATTCTAACAAGATCTTCACGGGTCGATACAAGACGATGCACTTGCTGAAATAATTTACTTAATGACCCCCCAGCGTTTTTGTCTGTCAGATATTGTAAAATGTGTTGTAATTATGATTACAAGATCACTACTAAACTAATAGTCGCTACGAATAAACACGAGTGTCTGCAGCTACCTTTTCCTAGTAAACCTGCTGGGAAATATTTACATTGAAAAAACTCCACGTGTTACGATACACAGGTAAGGGGCCATTCATTATTTATGGCTTTCTCTCTCATGCAAATACAACCAATAAGACAATGTCATCAATATCCCCCGCAATGGCAAAATACTCTTCATGAATATGTCTACGAGTTATGATTATGTCAAATGTTTTCGAGAGTATATAGAAAAGTGCAAGGAGAGTATTGAAAGGTTTAAAGTTCTGCTCCAGATATGCAAAGCCATTTTATTCAGGATTCCAAAACTACCAAAAGGCACCAGTACACCACCAGATGTATGTATGTACCAAGTGTGGCAAAGAAACATTGAACGGTTTTAGAGTTCTGCTCCCGAAAAGAGCACTACCACCAATTTCAATCTAAATCAAACTTGTTGCCATGGAAATGCCAAAAACAATTTATTCAGAATTCCAAAACTACCAATAGGCACCAGCACACCACCAGACCAATCTATGTACCACGTTTGATGAAGAAATATTGACTGGTGTTAAAGTTCTGCCTCAGAAAAGATGTGCACGGACGCACGAACGGAGTCCATTTTAATACCCCGCAAAATGCGTAACGGGGGATAATATTATACATTTATGCTTACAAATTAATGTGTGTGTGTGTGTGTTGGGGGGGGGGAGAAGAAGAGCGATGATTTTGCACATGGGGGGCATCTCTGTTGTACATAAATTTTCAGGGGGTGGGTGTGTATGGGTGTGTGTGTGTCATTCACATTGTACATGCTTCTCCATAACAATCATCACCAATCCTTTGGTCTAACCCCACTTTGAAATGTATTACAGTTGCATTACACCTTGTCAGCAAAATGTAGGATGGGCAAAAATGGATATTGCAGATGTTGATCTAACCACTCCTGGGATGATCCAGGGATGCTACCCTACAAGTCAACTTGCAGACCTGAGACCACTTGGCTACCTGTGACCCCTCCAGGTTTTTAGACTTGATGCATTCTTAATGAAGCAGTAAATGCCCAAATGGTGCAGTTCAAAACGGGCCTTGACAAAACACCCAGTACCTGCCTCCCATCTACAATGGAGCATATCTACCATTATTGTTCCATGATCAAACACAAACACCCAAAAGTGTATTTTCTTTTTTTTTATTTCAATTTTTGTAAATAATAATATTTTGGATTTAACAGCAGCCTACATAAACATCTGCCCAACAGGTGTTTAAGCAGCATTATTGTGCAGACAGCATTTGGTAGTTTTCCTGTTATTCTTCTTTCTCCTAGTGGGACTAAGCAGTAAACACCTTAACATGACAGAGTTACTTCCCCTTAAACATAAACATTTGTTCTCTCTTTGCAAAAGACATGCTTCATTGTGAAATAGAAATGCATTTGTTTCAAACATAATCCCAATAAAATAAAATACCATATTTTATGTTGTTTACATGAAAATGTATCAATATGGATCAGTACTATCAAAGATACAACTTCTAAACGTAACTTGTCTTTTTGAATTTGTTTAAAAAGAACTTAACTTACATCACACAGAGACAGATTTTTTTGACAAAAAAACCCATTAACATGCATTTACACAAAGCAGTCAGACTCATAACTATTATGAGAGTAACCCTATCAACACGACTAGAAGGATATTTCATGAAGTGAAATAACCGTAAGAGATGTCACTTACTGTAAGGAATGACCAACTGTGCAGAAAAAGATGTTCATGATTTTCTGCTTTAAACAAAAGTAATTAGTGTGGTTTCAAATTACTGTTATGGCAATTACCCGTTTTAAATCTTTCAAAATCTGTCAAATATACCAAATGGTTAGAATACCCAGTTTTGAATATTTGGAATGCTGTTTCAGTGACGTGACCATCACATGACCAATGGAGAGATAACGCCAACACTGTGATAAAGCTTTGTAACTGAAACCACAACTGCTGTTCTTAAAAATATACATATTTGTTATTGTTTATAGAGAATGATTCTTTTGTGATAAAAAATAAAATAAACAAAAATACTAAACAGCTGAAATGACATTTTGATTTAAGAATTTCATGATTGTAAAATTCCAAAGCTATCCCCTTGCAAATTTACTTGTTAATCAAAACTATGAAACTCAACAGCATGTATCACCAGACTGCAATCTCAACCCGTAGGGTACCTCAGTGCTTGCCATGTCAACATGCACAAACAGCAGTACAGAGCAAATACCTTACAGGTGGGAAAGATATTAGCAGCAGTTTCTCGAAACTTTACAGGGAAGCAAGGATTCACAGAATAATACATTGTGTCACAATTCATACATCAATAAACTCAAAATTTTATATCAGTATTAACCGAATATTTCAAATTCAGCCCCTCCCCCTCAACAAAGAACTAATAAGGTGACCCAAAAAAAATCAAGCCTATTAAGTTTCCACATATGTACTTTCCCTATTCTACTTCAAAATTGTAGTAGAGCATACATATTTAAAGCAGCGGTTTGTATTCATCAGTTGGACTCCTATTATAGTTTCTTTGTTAATGCTGTGATCTTCAATGTGCCAGTACATGCTCAAACCATCATTGTGTAACAACAGCTGATGATAATTGACAAACTGTTTCATGATGTACGTATTGCGGTTGACACAGTGACCAAGCTTCATTACCACCCTCTAACGCTACAGTACTTGAAAGGAGAGCATCTAGTTCCACTAGTTGCATATTCAGTGTAATAAATGTATACCGGTATCAAATCGTAACATTTAAAGGGAGGCAACACAACACAGACATAACGCAGAACACAGTAGAGTTCAGAGCAAAGTAATACTTGCTGAAGACTTGGAAATACTATCCATCAGACTACTTCCAGACATAAAGTAATATACAGAATATTATGACAATGTGCCTTCATGTGATGGTTGGATATCACCACCATTGTTCTTCATAAGGAAGTGGCCATTTATTGAAAGGGAAGTTACCATGGTAAAGGGCAAGAAAGAAACGAATACAATCTGCATCACCCCAAAATTGACAAAATTGGGGAGTCATCTGTTATCACAATGACCAAAGCTCCTTCCCTATCTAAAATAAATGTCTTGTCCTTACTCAGCTATGTGAGACTGTAAATGACGTAAGGCCTAATATTGATACTGACAGTATGTATATGATATTAAACACATGTTATATCATCTATATTTGTGAAAACTAATATACTACACAAAAGAAGTTAGAGAACATAATGTGACTCTAGTTCTTCTGTCATGGTTGGAGGGTACCCAACAAACAGACTTCGAACTTCTTTTGAGCAGTAAATGACTTTCAGACCATGCCTGCGCCAATCTGAAAACCGATTTCATTTAAATTGACAACTTTCTTTTTATGATATCAATGTAGCTGAAATTCTTATTGCATTGGTTACTGATAAAGACAAACCTAGTCAAGATCTGGTTGACATTCATTGTCAATGAGTCATCAGTTTTATTATTGCTGAAGAAATGCTATTCTGCTACTGCCAGAAAAAAACAAACCATTCCACCAGAAAGTCAACAAGTTGTCATGGCAGACATTGAACCTCATGTGAGCTTCGGATCACATGACTGAAAATCCAATCCCATAGTTAGGCTAAGAAACAGGAGATCTCACTGTTAAGTTTTATGAAGAAATCTTTCCCATCCATAGTTAGGCATAAGAAACAAGAGTATCTCACAGTTAGGCTTAAGTAACTAGAGCGTCCCTTAGTTAGGCATTGAGCACTTTGAGATGGAGATAAAACTGAAAACAGATAAACAACTAAAAGATAACAAGTAACACAAGTTGCATCTTTGATACATAGTACTCATGGTAACCATGGTATCAAAAGAAACCAGAGTAATGCCGCTGTCTTACATACTATATGTATGTTAGCACTGGAAAATGTTAAAAACATATAAATGTTAAGATAATTTATATCTGTCAAAAAGTCACATTCATTCTCTCCTGGGTAACCGCGGCAACAAACATTTCTCTGGCTGAACCAATCAGGACCTTCATTTTCCTTTCAGCTGTGTGATTGTATAAAAGTACTTGGAGAAAGTTTTTGAAAACATGTTGTTTTCATCTTGTCCGTCAGCACTGCCAAGATCCGACAGCCTACACTGGCAGGCAGTTGAGGGGAAAATGAAATGAAAGGCATTGTGGGTAATTCTAGATATCCATCTCAAACTGAGGCTGTTCTTCGGGGTGGTCTGAAAAACAACATTTACCATTACAAAAGTATCAGGAGTATTGTAAAAAACAACATTTAACTATTACAAACAGACAGACAGATATTTTATTCAGTATAAAAGCGAAAGGCCAATAATACAAATAAATTACATAGTTGAAATAACCATTAACCATTACAGTTCTATCAAAAGTACTGTGCTCAAAAATGTTAAAACTTTAACCATGTAACCTGTTGCTAATTCATGTGCAAAGTCTTTTATGATTTTAATCTTTATTCAACTGATGTATCTGCACTTCAAATGTCCTACAAACTGGCAACTATTTGAGTTTAACACACATTTGTTCTATATTAATGATGTTCTGTTATATAACATGAAAGAAAAATAAGAAAAACATACCAGCGGCACATTACAAACTGACTCCTCTGCACTACTTGAATTAAACTGATAAATATTTACTTTCTACAATAAATGGTCCAACCTACCAGATTTTTCTTTTTCCTCAGGTATTTTACGACCATTTTCTTTCGCCACTTCTATCTCCCCTGGTTCGGTGATGCCAGGAATCTTCGCCATGATTGGAGGACTTTTTGTTAATGGAGAGTTTCGACATTCCAGTAAGAAAGACCGATCATAAATTAATCTTGTTCCTGGAACATAATAGAAATCAAAGATAACAGAGATTGAATATGAACAAGATATTGTGTTAGTTGTGTAAAGCCACTCGCAGCAATATTCCAGCTGTATGATGTGGTCTGTACATAACCAATACTGGGGTTGGACAAGCCAGTGACTGACATCAACAGCACTGATATAAGCAGTTTGGATAGAATGACATGCATCAACCAAGTCAGAGATCCCGTTAGTCACGTTGTACAATAACCACTGATTGATTTGTACACCTTGTCGATATTTTAATACAGTTGCTACTTTGATATTTCATATTTTGTTGGATTCACTTGTCGTTGGGCCTGACCACCTGATCCTGTTAGTTTACCGCAAGCATTAGTTGCTGAAGACCAGTTGTAACAAAACTCTTCACGGTTTATGAAGTGAACGTAAACATTGTTTATTATTATCCAATGACAAGCAAGTCAAGCAGTTTCAAAGAGCCATGTTCTGTCATTAGCAGGTATAAAGTAATGACATTCAAATAAACAAGTTTGGAAATTGGACCATACAAACCAATGGTAGATTTGTGAAGAAGGATCCACCATGGTACAATGGCACCCCAATGATTTATCCCATCCTGCTCACAGACTGATATTGGGGTTATATTTCCAGCAAATGACAAGTTTGAACTGAAACTTTCCTAATTCATGTCAATATAGTTGTATAACTAATAGCTTGGCCATGTAGAGGTGTCTAGTATTTCACTGATTACAGGCGAAGAGGAAAAGGTATTAATGCTTCCAACTAGTCTTGTGTTAGAACTATCTGAAGAAAATATATAATTTCCAAACCACATCATCTATGAAAAATTGACAATAAAAAAAGAAAAGAAAAAGAGAACCAAAATATATTCCCAAATTCATAAATGGACTATAGAAATTTGAATACAAATTAAACAAATGTCTTGTTTGTAGTCTGTGACTTCTGACAACCGCTAATGAAGGGATATAAAAATATCTTAAAAAATAAATGCATACACAGTGGTATGCTTTACCATGGTTACTGCATAACCACTTAACGTCCTCTACAATAATCAGAACAAGCATCGTCACTAAGGTGACATAATCCCCCGCCGCATTATCAAAGCAAACTTATAAAGTAATGAAAGTTTAAGATGAAGTTAAATGTCAACAAAAACATGACCAGTCGACCTCTCTTGATATCTTGCTCTTTAGTTGTTCAAACACACACATATTTTCAAGACTGACTTTGACCTTGACATGAATGTCATAGTGTATGAAATATGCAAAAATAGTACTAAAGAAATTGCTTATTGAAAAACATTCAAGGGAAGTCTTGAAAGTCTATGAAGACAATCCAGTGAACCGTTCTTGAAATATCTTGCTGACAATTCACGTTAACATGCTGAAATCTTCAAAGTGTCGTTGTGACCCTGAAAATTATATGAATTGATTGGGCCCTGGGCCTTCCCTACATGAAGCTTGGTGTCAAATATGAAGAAACTCCAGTGAATGGTTCTTGTGGTATCTTGCTGACAAGCATAACATGCAGGTTAATATTCTGAAATCTTCAAAGTGTCTCTGTGACCTTAAAAATTAAGTGAAGGTCACCAAAATTGACTGGGCCCTGCGCCTTCCCTAGATAAAGCTCGGTATTGAATATGAAGAAAATCCAGTGATTGGTTTTTGAGATAGCTTAACATGCAGGTAAAACGTTAAAGTCCCCTTGTGACCTTGAAATGAAGGTCAAGGTCACAAAAACTGACTTGGGCCTTTCTTATACTGTGATGAACCTAGGTATCAAATATGAAAAGAATCTAGTGAACGGTTCTTAATATATTCCAATTCGTACGTACCTACGTACAAACGGATGGACGGACGGAGCCTAATACTATATCCCCCGCATCGCGCTAAACGTGCGGCGGGGGATAATTAACCATTTACTATGATTGTTTTTCCAAACAGTTGTATGTGTTTCAAACAGAATGAAGAAATTCTTGAGTTACACAATTACAAATACATTACAAGTTATTTGATTGGATAGCCATGCAAATTCTTTTTAGTTCTAAATAAACAAACAAAAAAGGCCAAGACCACTAACAGTACTGTTTTCTGCTTGGCTGATAGAATGGACAGTGTTTGTGTTGCATTATCGTGCCGATACTTTGTTATTATTGACACCTTAATTTCTAACAATTGACTCTAAAATGTTTTGTGTTTACGACATAATTAACTTTTAAAAAATCTCAAAAATATTGTTATAAAATATTTAGCAGTTATATTTAGAACGATTCAAGCTCACTGGTTAGCGAATATATATGTCATTTTTGGCACTGCTATGATTGCCTGAAAACTTTCATTGTTCTTAAAGCATGTTACAAAGATAACACATACAGGTGTGAAGCAATCAGCTGATTTCTTGACACTTTGATAACAGACAGATGGTCAACATTAAACTGTCAAGCTAAGATTTACATTGAAATGCAGTTCAAGAAGCTGCCAGAATCTGTATAACACTTGTTAATACAATACTTTGTAGCAAGATAAGAAATATGTCACATTTAAGTGGCCATTCACATCCATGGCACATAGAAGCAGATCACAAATACATAATCCTAACAGGACAAAGGGTCTTATTGTTTCAGTTTCTTGAATAATGTCAAGATTACAATACAGTATTCAAATGAATTAGTAAGTAGAGGTTAACATTTCTTTTCAAGGTGAGTGTCAGTGTGCCTCTTACTTGAAGAGTGAGCAACAAGGAAACAGCCATCAGTTGTGGTCTAATTTGGGGGGAGGGGACATAAACAAACTGAAAAAACATTTTTTTGCAGTCAGCTAATCAAAAGCACATTACAAATAACATATTTATAAACAACTACATGCAATTACACAGTTCTGAACATGGGATTAACATACAGTAATTTATACATACTATGTGCATTTATCATGTCTAATCTAGTTGAACATGTTGAGTTAAATATGTGAAATATTTTCAGAAATGCAAGCAGTGTTTAAGAAATACTTAATCTTACGATCTGTCAGATATACTATATATAGCCATGACAAGATTTCATGTTTGTGGATAAAACCTTATCTTTCATGGGTAACGTGTGATCCAAATATATCTCACTGTGCTAACTATGAGTCTGTATTTCAGTAACCATCAATTATGTTGACAGTTGTTAACTGAAGGTGAAAATTTTATCCAAAATAATTTTTGGGGAAATGTCACTATTGTCAGAGTTCCTGACTGGCTGCATTCAAATTAAGAAATTATCAACATTTTAATCCATTAATGGTAATTTAACTATGTGTGTTAAATTTAAAAGCGAAAGTAAAAGAAAATGCCTATTGGCACTGTGTTCATATGTTAGATAATACCAGAATGTCTTTTTTCTTTAAGACAAGACATTAAATGCATGCTGGTGAAAGTCAGTATAGGCAAAGGGTACATCTTTTGATTAAATAGATCTAATTCCTCATTTCCAATGTCTGGAAAAGCAGTGGAAAAACACTCACTGTTCTTCGAACAAACATATTGCTGATGTGACTATAAATGTTAACTCACTCACTCAAACAAACATAGTAAGGTTAATCATACACCCACTTGCCACTATCAAACACGCTTGGTGACCCACATTTGAGAGCAATGACCCATATTTGCTGCTGCAGAGTGTAAACATGGTATACTATCAGTAAGGACTCCTAGTCAACCACTGACTATATAAAGCTCACCATACAAAAGCAGGTGTTACATGATAGAATAAGGTCATTTCATTTATATTACAAATTTACCACCATAGCCGTATCTAAATTCAGATAACACATACAGACTTCCTCAATGAAATATTCATAACTGTATAAGCCTAAACATAAACCTGTTACACATAACATCCAATCAAAACCTAACTAAAAGTACACAGTGTCATTCAAACACTTTAAAATAGTTTATAAAATTTTAAACAAAATTATGATATTGAAATATGCCACAAAATCAACACTCGATCTACACATGTGGCATGCACACTGATGCATGAAACAATCGTGTATTTTCTCTTGCCAGAATGTGAAACAACCCAATACTGAGACGAGACTGCTAATTTATTGAGATGAGTTACACTGTGTACGTCTACCAAGCCATCTGTCGGAGGTGTATCATTGTACACAATAATTCATGTTTCCGTGCCAAGGTCATCTCGGTGCTGATGTAAACAAATCGTTTTTTCAGGTCAGGAATCATAAACTATTACTGACAACATATACAGAACCCTGTCGTCTATAAAATCTTCCCATATGACAAAACAGGATAGACGCAAAATACGAAAAACGCATGATTTAATTAAAAGAAGGAACATCTGCTATAAGACTAACCTTCGTTAAAAAGACTGTACTCAGTATATTTATTTATCATGCAGGCAATTAAATAGTTGATCAATTACAGCATAATGATGCTGACAGAGTTAGACAAGGTATCCTGCATTTGAAATATATAAATATTTATCTAACAGATGGCATAGCAAGCTTTAAAACCAGCAACCAGGCAACATCTGATAAGCAGTTTTCGCACGAAAGTCACATGGCACGGTGATCCGCCATCTTGAATGGTCTGAAGTAAACAAGGCTAGAACAGAAGCAAGGTGGCTATGCATATGCAGTTGTATAACCGACCACGTAAAAATGCACTGATTATTCGTCATTACGTTGTCTTCACGATCTATAAATGCACAACAATGCAAACTGACCTCCGGGGGTAGTGGAGAACAGCGTCCCTCCTGGCGTTGTACTGTAATCTCCTGGTAGCTGTTCTAAGTTGTTGAGAACAATCCTGCGGCTGGGGATCTCTCGTCCGCGAGGGGAGCTTGTTGTTCCTTGCAATGACATCTAGAATTGTTGACGGACGAAGTTTCCTGAGAATTATGATAACGCACCCGACTGTCCCTGCATATAACTCCGCCTATCTTTAGAACACACACTCGCTGACGCTCTCCTCTCGACTCGCTCGCACACCACAAACAGGCACTGACTCAAATCAGTCACATGGCCAACTCCGCTCATTAGCATGTGATAAAAACAGGTCATTCTGTCCATATGTCGGGCCTGCTGATGATTATCTAGTATCGAGAGGACCTGAAATTTGCATTACCAGTCAAATTTATCACCTACGGAGCTCGGGAAACTTTGTTTATTATTGTTTTGGCAGCAAGGTAGAAAGTAAACATTGTTAAAGGGAGACGACTCTGAGGGGAAGTCCCACATTACGTCAGCTTGCACAGCTGACTGTTTCGGAAATGAGCTGGTTAGGGCGACATAAAAATAAGTGTGACCATATGTGACGTGTTGCTACCATTTTAACAATCGTCATGCTCACTATCATGTTACTGTATTTAATTCTATACAGTGAGATAACTCACTTATCTACCAGAATGTGAGGCGAGGTATTAGTGTTGAATACACTTATCTACCACGGGGTCTTAGTACTATATCCTTTTATATAGTACTAAGACCCCGTCAGTGATAGTATATGCCTTGATGGCAGTTTTTAGCGTTACAAGCCCCTGTGGTTGAATATGGTCGAACATTTTTATCAAATCACACTTAACAATAACAAACTATCAATATTGAAGCGAAAAGTAGTTTAGCAATCCAAGAATATTCCAAACGTGACTTCATGTGCATTGGCGGTAGCCCAACTGTTGTGTGATGAACAATGTGTCTGCCCCAAGTAACGTCATCTGTTCTGCGTCATTCAAACTAGCAGATCTGTGTGACGTCATGATACTTTGTTAAGTTCCCTCTTTGTGACGTCATTACTATTTACTCCGTTAAATAAAATACACACATTTCTGTTCACACACCTGCTCTCTTCATAATAGAAAGATTATCACCACCATCACCATCATCCTCACTACCATCACCATAAGTGTTTTGTCTGTCACATGTATTGTCACAAATTGACTTTAAATGTTTGCAGGGGAATTATTTTGTTTAAATGGGTACTCAGAAAAGTTTTCTTGTTGAAAGAGACAACTTGGTGGATCGGGTGGTCAGTGTCGTTGACCTGGTGGATTGCGTGTCCGACAAACGATTGTCATATCAGTCACTGGACTGTCTGGTCGGCTCGATTATCTAAACCACAGTCAACAATGCTGATATGTGCGTGTTAGGTTATTTCTACGATGCTGATTATATGAATTTTCTATATTTTTTGTTTTCTTTTTGGTTTTTAATGCTTCTTTGTTTATTGTTGAAAGCCGCACACAGCAATATTTCAGCTGTATAACGTCGATCTGTAAATAATCGAGACAATCTAGTGACGAGACAATCTAGTGACTGACAACAGGAGCATTGTTATACATAACTCCGATACCATGACATGTGTCATCTTAGTCAACCTATAAACCTAATCATATTAGTCGCCACTTTTGACGTAAGTGCTGGAAAAGTATCCAAACCCAGATCTTCAGACTATCTAAGTTGACATTGGTGTTTAACGCGAAATTCATGGAACTACGTCGAATGAATTTATATGTAAATACCGCAATAAATCAATCCTGAACATGCCAAGGGCGCAACGCGTGACCTTGTAGCTACAACGAAAATACCATGATCAGAAATATGTTATTGCGTTTATCGTAACATGAGAAAAATCCCCTTGTTAATTATTCCTAAGAGTTTACACTCTCCGATGAAATAAATTTTATTATACAACAAGTAACAATATAAAATCTTAGGATCTTCCTAGAAGTCATTCACAACAGATAGAAGAAACATTTTGAGAGCACAGCATTCAATATTCTATGTGTTGACGTGGCCATTGTGACAAGTTTAAACGGGCGTCATAACGTGTGTTTTTAGCGTCATATTTAAAGACACAGATCATACAGTGTGTATGTAATGGCTTCCTGATACCAGCATATGCTCAGTACACCTTTCCGGACACTGCATGATGCAATGTTCACGTGACATGTGCATGATTTAATGCATCCGTTGATGGAGGAAAGTAAGTGACATCTAGGAGCACACTCGGGCACGTCACAAGCATGTTATATAGGTGCTCGTCAATAAGAGAAGTGTTTGTGTTGAAGAATGACATAACGTGCATGGTTGGTCTCGTGACAGATCGATGATGCGTCAAGACATGACTCACAGCTACTACTACATTGAAACATGTAATGAAGGGAGTGTTCACAGTCTGAAAAGAAACCCAGATTTTGAAAATTGATGGTGTAATACAAGTAAAGAATAGACACAAACACACACATCCGCACGTACGTTCGTCCATCCATCCATGAATACATACATCAGTGTGCGAAATAGTTTCCAAATTTTGCTAGCAAGACGGGCTAGCTATGACTGAAAGTTACTAGCCCACAAAATTATTCACTTGCCCGAAATTTGAATGTAGACACAGGTTTCATCATTAAGCTGCTAATATGATGTATTATAACTTAACAAGTCGGAGAGAGTGATATGTATTTACAAAATGATCCCATCAAAATTCACTAGCCAGTTGGGCGAGCGACTGTGGAGATTTACTGGCCCGACTGGATTTTTACTAGCCATGGGCTAGCGTACATACATACATACATACATACATACATACATACATACATACATACATACATACATACATACATACATACATACATACATACATACATACATACATACATACATACATACTCCTAATTCTTTTCTGTGATGCTACATGTATCATATTATTATCTATATACTTCGCATGTTATGTCCCGAATATCGGTCAAACAGACATACACAAGGTGTGGAGGTGTATAGTCGTTAATAACAATAGTGCGATTTAATCGGATCGATCAGTCACGATGGATGAGTCACGGAGAGCCAGATTCACATACAGATGCATGCACAACATAATGTCACAGTGTCATACTGCCTCTAGTCTGTCTCACAGTCCCTGATCGACGTGTTTTTTCTTTCACCCAACCCATGGTGCACAGCGAAAGCCCTACATTAAGCAAGTCTAGATTTCCCACAGTTTCAGGTTCTGAATCTCCCGTCACCCTGGGCTCCTTTTCAAGCTAAATGGAACTATTTGTTTTTATCAAAATCATATATATTCAGAGATAAGGCGTTAGTCTCTGCTTATCCCGATACAGTACATCAACCCCTGCCTCAGGCGGACAACCTGTGTATCCTGTGTGAGTCATGGTCTGATGTTTAGGGCATGTGAGTGCTTATTTATCTGTCGTAAACGTTATTGTGTCCTGTCCTTTAAATGCAAGATAATGATATCTTAATGAGTTAATAATGTGATGAGTATATATCGTTCATGTGATCTCTATAACCTCAGGTAATGCAAATCTGTATTTGACGTCAATTGCGATTAATTTTGCATTTTTGTATGGCGCGTCCTGTCGTTGTAAAATAAATAAACATCTGGTCGTTTGAACTATTTTTAATATGAATTAACACCAAACATAGTTTTGCATAAAATCATAGAAAAGGGTCACCTTGACGACTCTGGGTATATACACATTGACTTACCGTGGTGCCCATGTCTGGAGTCTATGTGAAATAACGGTTATTTTTTTATAGGTATTTCTAAATGTTGTCTTTTGGGGAATAACACTTGATCCCATTGCAAATGATGCATATTTCCTCATAATATTGATATCAATAGTTGACATCAATAGTTGATATCAATAATTGACATCGACACTGAGCTTAGTTATCAGTAGTTATGAAAAATGTAATAGAATGGCAATAAATGATAAAATCCTGATAATCAATACCCGAAAAGGTTTTAAATTCGTTAAATAAACTGTGGACAAATGAAAACATACACCCATGTATGATTTGGACTAAAGATGAAACAATCAAAACATGCTAATTCGATGGTGATGTATTTGAGACAACTATCATAGTTGCATTTTAGACCTAAAGTTTGTTTCAGCGATTGTTCTCATCTAGGTAATGTTTTGATAACGTTTATTGGAATTTGGTCAATCCAGTGTTTGGAGTGTATACTTGTTTTTGCCCTGCAGTTAAAACACGCCTATAACATCTTGTATGCAGAGGTATGTGTTTATCCATCTAGAGTGAGTTTAGTTTTACGCCGCTTTTAGCAACATTCCAGCAATATAACGGCGGGGGACACCAGAAAATGGACTTCACACATTGTACCCATGTGGGGATTCGAACTCGGGTCTTCGGCGTGACGAGCGAACGCTTTAACCACTAGGCTACCCCACCGCCCCTTATCCATTTAGATAACTTACACATCTTCACCCGCAATTGCATCTTTATTTCTTCCCCTACTAACAAGAACATTTGCAGTACTACCACCCCAATGGTCAAGCGGATAGAGTGTCTGCCTGGAGAGCGAATGGACGGGGATTCGATCCCAGGTCGCGTCATTCCAAAAAAGGTTGAAAACGGTATTTGTTGTTACCCTGCCTGGTGGGGGGCATTATGAGTTGCAACAATCGCTGGTCGACGATCAGCATACTGTGTCGTGTATGGGGACGTGTACAAGTGAATTGCAATGTAAGTACAATAATCTTGAACACATTGTTACCTTCTATCCTCCTCAACTCCCCTTGCAGTATATTTACATTGAGCCCCAAATGTCGGACGTGGCAGGGTGTGTATTTTCGGATCAGTACTGTAATGTATAATAAACATGTCTATACTACTGCGACAGCACAGTTACACGCACGCATTAGTCACATATACGTGTAACATATTAACCAAACCTTAGTTAATCTGTCAATCATGTAATATGCTTACAGGTATAAGTAGTATGCTAAGTACATATGTAGTTGATATACCCAGGCGTGGTCAAGATGACGTTTTGTTGTATTGGAGACGTTTGTCCTTACACCAAGATAAAGCAAAGCTGAAGAATATTTGTTTTAGATATGATAAAAACACCAAAGTGTCTTATCTAAGAAAGGTCTTTTAGTTTTGATCACGTGGTTACAATCTGACTGAGGGTCTGCAGACAGGTCTTAAAGCCACTTCATATAGCATGCAGTGCGTGCAGGGTATAT